GTGAGATGAAATTCGTTTACAATTTTTGTATTTGCAAACTATCATCGTTGAGCAAGTGTTTCACAGATTGTGAAAAACATGTGACGTCATCGGATACACCATCAAAAGATTTTTTGCCGATGGATGAGCTTTCAAATATTAGAAAAAGTTAATTTTGCAAGAAAGGACTGGAATTGACTAGCTCGGATTTACTATTATTGTTCTTGTTCGATTCGATTGCCGACTGAGATTTTAGTGACAATTTGTATAGATTTTCTAATTCATCATAACCTACACATAATTAAATGGTGAAATATACTCGTGATGCATGTGAGTAATAGTCACTCGTGTTTATTCATTGTTGCATATCACGTTTCTTATGCTCAATAATTTAATTACTAAGCGAACATGAGTGACGACAAGATACAAGAGCGGACGATGGCGGCGCCGAAGCTGCTGCCGCTGTTCGGAGAGACGCAAGCGTTCAAGAACATCTCCAAGATTGACGATGAGATCGCCGTGCTTAAAGAAAACCTCGACGTGTTTTTCCTTGTGACAATTTCCTTCATCGTCTTCTGTGAGTATGTTAATGAATCTATAAGCTATTTTGTGAATGTATTTAACTATATTTCATAGACAATTTAATAAAATACATTCAGACAATTAACTATATTTCATAGATAATCATTTGTTTGTAAAATTTTTAAGGAAAATAGATGAAAATCTTTTCCTTCCTCGTTTTTTTCGTGAGTACTGCCATGGCTGGACTCGTTGAAGTTGTATTATGGTTTGCCTACAGGAAAAATACCCACGCTGTGGCCATAATACTTCTTGTCCATCGTTTTTCTACAATGTTCAATAGCTTTCTATATTAAGATACAAATTACGATTATAACAAGTAAACATTTAGCAATAACGGTTAAATATATAAGCCGCACAAAAGAATATTCATTGAGGCTCGTGAGTGGACAGTGATTTGCAATTCTTAAAAAGAAATAAATTCTATTTTGCTCGTAGATCCTAATTTTTCCTAACTTGATAGCGACTCTTCTCAAGTAAAGTATTTGAGCATTATATTGATGAATTATTATTCATTGAACAGTGCATTAAGGCAGACACACAAGCTTGTCGACCAAAGGCCCTGCATGTGGCTTCCGCAACAAGATCTCCACAAAACTTGTCTACTGTACCGACGATCTCTGGTCACCGTGGCCAGCTATTAATTGTATGAGCCATACAATTACTGTATCGAGTGCCCTTGAATATTTATTATCATGATTGCCATAGAGATATTTGTAAATTATTGAGCTAAACAGACAGTAATCATAATCAGTCAAGCGTTGAAAAGCAAAATAATACGGATATGCCATGAGAATTCGTTGAAGATTATAGATCATATATGAAGAATCTGTCATTATAGGCAACCACTACAAGAAAACATGTTACAGATCTATTATAATGTTTAGAAATGAAATAATGCTCCGTCCACCGTTGGATATTGCACCTCGTTGCATATGATAATACGAAGGAATATTCAAAACTTCAATGCAGGACTCAGCAATGCCAGGGAGTGATGCGTCAGGTCATAGTTCACTCAAAGAAATGAGGAAACTTTGTCCTAATAGCGATGCACTATTTGCCCTTGTATGGGACATCCGCACCGAGTTTACCCCGGCATAATTATAGGTGAATCAGCGCTATATGCATAAACTGTGTCACTATTTAGAAAAGATGACCCATTAATTTTTTTCTCAGTACGTGGGCCTTCAGTTTCAAGATTCAGTGTGGGCTTCAGTTGATGAATTCTAACTTGCTAAACGGACTACGGAATGCCATGTGATGTTAATCTGATATTAGTTATCAATTCGGATCAAATAAATTATTACTTATCGCTTTCGCATGATAGCGAATTGAAATACGCGTCCTACGCAGAAATATGACTGACTAAGATTATAAATGATAATAAGCTGTAATAAATGTAATATTTATATTATATTTAACATATAATATATACCTATATTAATAATAATAATATTATTGTTATTATTATTAATAAAGAGCCCCCTAATAATAATAAGCTGTATATTTTCTAACTTGTTACATGCAAGGCTAAATAGGAGAAAGTTTTAATTCATATACAGTTCATTCAGAAATTCACGACCCACTCTGATGTAAAAGTTTTCTTGAGTTGTTTCCATTTGTTTGTATCTATCCATTCCATTCTATTAAGGTCTCATTTAGTTCCTTGACGGTTTTTCACTATGATATCGTACAACTAATTTTGCCAAGACGATTTTAAGTGGCGCAATCATTCATAAATTTGGAAAATTGCACATCAAATTTTAAAAAATTCATTGCATCCTAATCATTTCTACACTTCATAGGACTCATAACAAAACGTCAATAAGATTAAGTCTCATTTGAATTACAAAATGACCTCTAAAATTTTTACTGAAGATGTGCATAATAAATATCATTTACATTCAATGTTCAAAAACTGAGTACTATTGGTACTCAACATAAAATTCCAGTAACCAGTGCAGCCATAGGCCACTGATAGAGTGACATCTGTCCGTGAAGATCGAGTAGAGGAAATGGTGAATCTCAACAGAGATGAATTGTTCTCTTGCTGCTAAAGCTACCTCTTACAACTGAATATTTCTTCATTAACTTCCACTATGATGTTTAAATGATAATTTCGATGACTCAACCTACGATAATTACCCTGATTTACTGTATCTGGAAACATTAACGCTATCCAAATAAATATCCACGAACAAGAAGCTGGTCTACTGCAACAGAATTTAAAATATATTGTAATATCTTGATTTGAAAAGATTGTAAATTAACGCATTAATCTAAAAACAGCTTGTCAGATTTCCACAACAGTTACGTAATAATAATCCAACATTCTTCCTACCGAACCACTTATAAATTTTTGACGAGACCAGCTAACCATATAACCAGGAACCAGAATTATTTTCAGTTTGAAAATCTTTGATTGATCACGTATTGTCAGTTAATAAATCAATTAAAATAGAAATTAAATCTAAATAATTAACACATTCGTTCTGTATACAAACTGCTTTTCACTCTTAACTTCTTTGGTTCTCTGTGAAATTTGAGGTGAAGTTGGTAAAGGGGCAAGACTAACTATAAATTTTTGCTGTACCTGTAGCAACTTTAAATATCAAAACTTTATGAGGTACTAGATTTCTAGTTATAACTTCTTATATCAGTTTTACATGCTGGTTTCTCCTTTTTGGAAGTGGGTGCAGTGCGCTCGAAGAATGCCACCAACGTCCTTTTCAAAAACCTCTTTGATATCTGTGAGTTATTCTATTGATACATCAGTCATAAATATAGAATTATAGATCAACAAAATCTAGCCATGAACAAATACACCGCAAAGAATTTTACATTAACTTGATGCAGAAGGTGTTATGATGAAAACATTGAGAGTATTCATAAAGTCCACTTTAACAATAGTAAACTTATTTTAAATAATAATTTTTTGGCCTCACATTTCAATTTTAAATCTGATGGAAATTGCGTTTCAATAACCTTCGAACTAATCATACCAGAAACGTTATATGGCACTTGGCAAGTTCTTTATTTTCATAATTACATACCGTAGTATTTGATTAATTTCAGTTTTAGGCGGCATTGCGTTCTGGCTGTTCGGATACGCCATCGCGTTCGGTAAAGGCAGCTTGATTGGCACAACGTTCTGGGCGTCGTATGATGTGAAGGATCTCCAGATGGCCCACTGGCTCTTCCAGTTCGTCTTCGCCGCAACCGCTGCCACCATAGTCTCCGGGGCTGTGGCTGAGAGATGTGCCTTTGCAGCCTACTTCATTTACTCCACCCTGATCACGGGTGAGAGATGTGCCTTTGCAGCCTAGTGAGCCTACTTCATTTACCGTTCATTTATATAGCTTTTCATTGAATCCTGGCGAGTGGTGAAGCCAGTGTGCCTTCTTCTCGTTTGACGTTCTGCTAATCATCTTCTAAAAACAAATGGTTTGGTATCATAATGAAAGCGGTAAATATTTTCTTCGAAAATGGCTTATGAATATTTGATCTTTTTCCCTAAATAAGGTAAGCACCAATTTCACGAATCAACCATTATTACAACGAATTCATTCCCTCACATAGATCAAAAAATGTCACACATTCACTTAAGACGTTATTTGCACTAAATTATGGGGAAATGGACCAAAGTCAAGGAATGATACAACTTTATTGAACGAAAACTCAGACGCGAGTAAGGCTTCTGACCCAGACTCCTTCCAGGCATCTTTCACCTTTAGCGCCACTGCACGCCTGCAAATAGTTCACAAAGGTTTTATTTATACAATTTCAAAGTGATTTTAAATTAGAATTACAATTCCAACTGATTAAAATGATTTATGACGTACAAGATTTTCATTTTAGAGGAACTTTCTCAGCGATCGCAAACTAGGTTCCTTACTGAATGACAACACGAACACTCCTGGACGCGCACCGTGATCTCGCCGTGAGGCCATCAGCACTATTTTAAGATTGTGGGCCTCCCTGCAGATCTCAGCACCTCCCAAAGCCAACCGCCAAGACAGGTTGATCATCCACGTCACCACCGGCACGTGTTGCTCGTCGTTGAGGTAGCGATCGTCTCCGGACTCCGTGACTGTAGGGATTACTCAGGAGATAAGGCGAAAGTGTACGCATCAGGTGAAATGGGCCCAGTGTACAAAGTAGTCGAGTTACGGTGAAGACTAACTGAAGATGCAAAAAGGAAGATGAGACCAAAATGGACAAGTCTGCACCGGATGGGATCTGAAGTTCTACTGATAACTGACTGTTGATTCATTGTCGCTACTCGCTAGCTAGCCGTGCGGTTTGGCTGACTATAGTTCGTGACTACACGTACATATTGGAGTCACGGTACAGGAGTGATTTGGAATTCTAACTTATTACATCAGGTGCAATTTCTCATTCTAACATCCTTAAATTATACCACAATTTTGTACACTCTTCATGGCAGGTCTTGTGTACCCCGTGGTGGCCCACTGGGCCTGGAGTGATGACGGATGGTTGGGGCGGCACGGCTACCACGACTTCGCGGGCAGCGGCGTCGTGCATCTCACGGGGGGAGTCGCGGCCCTGGCGGGCGCCGTGTTTCTGGGACCGAGAATTGGGCGCTTCGACGGAGAGAGAGGGGAGCCTCCAGAACCCATCACCGGCCACTCGGTTCCTGTAAGGCGGTTTAAAGGAAATACTCTTTAACTATTAATGTCTCAAAGTTTAATTTGAAGTCAAATTTGAATCAATGAATGGCTCATGCTGTTCTTATCTTAATTAGAATCGTGTTTATAGATATGACAATCGATAAAATAGTAAATAAAAGATCGATAAGAAACAAAGTTGCTGGTGTCCTGTATGCTGGCCAAGCTCTTAAAAGTAACTCTTAACTAGATTTTGGCCCTCAGGAAAACCATTTAATTGGAGTATATTTTATTTCATGAATTTTCTTCGAATAATTCTTCAATTTGTATGAACTGACACTGTTCATTATGCTATCCACATTAAGCAGTGTATGCATACAGCAGAAAGATTTACTGAACCTTCCCAATAACGAGTGATGGACGCTGCTTTGAATATTGGACCCGAGAGAAATATTCTTTCGACCTTTCCCTACGAATTTGACGTTTCGTAATCTAGTTTTATCGAATGGAATGGAAAACATGGAGCATAATAAATCGACCATTATAACATATCGTTTTAAAAGGACTCAAGATGATCTTGAAATGAATAACAACAAGCTGGGTTTCGAAAATATCTTCAATGAACACTCCAAATAACTTTAATGAACAATCCAAATAACTTCAGTGAATAATCTTCTCATAACTCTACAGTCTACATGAACCAATCATCAATGATATAGCCTAATTAATAGTAAGAAAGCATCAGCCACAATCGCGAATCTTGCCTGCCAGCTCGCGGGGCTTGGTGGCTTCATTTTACTCTTCGGCTTCTTGGCGTTCAACGGCGGCTCTCAGGGATCCATCAGCCGTCCCGGCGACGCCGCGGCCGTGGCGAGGGCGGTAGTGAACACGATCCTCAGCGGCTGCTCTGCGGGGCTCTCCGTGCTGGTCACCTACAGGCTGAGTGGCAATAACAACTGGTCCTTCCTGATGGCCCTCAACGGCTCCCTAGTTGGCATGGTAAGGGGTTGGAAAGAGAATTACAGATCAACACCAACAGATATCTTGCTGTTATTGTAAAGGCTAACAATATTATATCAGCATAGCAACTTTAGTCAGAGTGACTTGCTTCCACGATGTTAGCTCCTGAGTAAAAACGCAATGCACCTGAAATAATCTCCTTTGACTCGACCAAAGAGTAACTACACCAATATTTGGGCTGCGACCAAGAACGCACTGCACCTTAAATAATCTCACTTGAATCAACCGAAGAGTAATTTAACTATTGCAGTGGATTGTGGAAGCATTAAACTTGCATCATTCATCATTATGGATTCTGTCTCATCTTCCTCCGTCTCCAGGTCTCCATTTGCTCGGGTTGCAACGTTCTGCGGCCCTGGGGTGCATGCATTGCTGGCCTCGTGGGTGGTGTCATCTACGTCATGTTGCACTACTTGATGATCAGGATCAGGGGTTCGTACATCATGTTGCACTACTTGATGATCAAGATCAGGGGTTCGTACGTCATGTTGCACTACTTGATGATCAAGATCAGGGGTTCGTACGTCATGTTGCACTACTTGATGATCAGGATCTTGGGTTCGTACGTCATGTTGCACTACTTGATGATCAGGATCAGGGGTTCGTACGTCATGTTGCACTACTTGATGATCAAGATCAGGGGCTCGTATGTCATGTTGCACTACTTGATGATCAAGATCAGGGGTTCGTACGTCATGTTGCACTATTGATGATCAGGATCAGGGGTTCGTACGTCATGTTACACTACTTGATGATCAAGATCAGGGGTTCGTAGGTCATGTTGCACTACTTGATGATCAAGATCAGGGGTTCGTGCGTCACGTTGCACTACTTGATGATCAGGATCAGGGGTTCGTACGTCATGTTGCATTACTTGATGATCAAGATCATGGGTTCGTACGTCATGTTGCACTACTTGATGAATGATGATCAGGATCAGGGGTTCGTACGTCATGTTGCAATCAAATTAATTTATTAAGTTCATGTTTCGTAACGACTCCATCGCAATGAGCAAAACTTTATTTTTCCTATAATATAACTGGATGACAGTGTGATTCCATAAATAAAGGGTACGGTTTGCAAATTCGTAAGAAATCTATTTTTATCTTCGAACACATCGCATAAATGGATTAAATTGAGATTGTCGTATTGAACAATAGTTAAAATTTTGAATTATCGCTGACATTTTAAATTTTGTGTGGCTGCAGTGGACGATCCTCTGGACGCAGTGGCAGTGCATATGGGTGGCGGCATGTGGGGCCTGATGGCCACACCACTGCTCATGGAAAACGGCATCCTCTACGGGAATTTAGAGGGATTCCAGATACTCGCCTGGAACGATTGGTGAAGGACCGCATGTTTTAGAGGTGATCAAATGCTGTCTCTCTATATGTAGATTAACATAAACCAACATGGCTGCCGTCAATGTGCATGAACCAAAATGATGTTTGATATCAAACCCTTAAAGAAATTACTAAAAGGTAAATTTATTAAATTATATTATTATTCCACGTAGGAATGGATATCCTGAAACACGGAGAACCTGCCTATCCAGCCGACGCATGGATCGAGGAGCAGTACTACTCGACGTTCTATAAGAAGGCGGGTCGGCCTTCGTCACGTCATAACAGCGGTGAGTTCTTGGAACAAATATATTTATTTTCTTCAAATTGCGTTATATATTTAAAAAACACTAAATCTTGCAGTGACTTTGGCTTAGTGAACGAGTTGATGTTATTACCAAAGAAAGCTGTTGGCGTTCGATAAATTGTGCGTAGACAATCTTTGCACAGCCGGGTTGAGACACGACTGATTAACAAAATAACGAGTTATATCTGTCATTGTTGTTACAGTTGTTGGAGGCTCGCATTTTTCTACATTAATATTCGTTGGCAATATTATACATTCACAATATTCTACATCAACTTTAAGAACAGGATTCAATTATCATATCGGTGAATTATTTACTCGCACTCGATTCACTTTCTTTTGTAGCATAATGATAGCGGTGATATTGGCCACAGCTACACTGATAATTATTCCCAATTTTATTTAAGTTATGTGAGGGCAACTTATTCTATGCAGCTCTGCCGTTCGTAATGACCGGCCCGCGTCAGAATGGCGCAAGGGTCTTCAGCGTGCGGCAGGTATCATCAAAAATCTAAAAAAATAGTGCAGTTCCGCGCTAATATTAGATCCCATCACATAGATCATCCGTTATTATAATTTTTGCACTGCACCATCCTGGAAAGTGGAAATCAAGTAGACTCAGAAAATTAATGGGTAATAATGTCCAAAACGTGACACTATTTCTGCACGTAGCGCTGATATAAGCCCTTTTGACGGGCCAAACTCGGCCAGTATGATCCACACAAGGGCAAAAAGTGCGTTGCGGTTTGAATAAAGTTTCGCTAATTTTCCTAAGTACTATTTACGCTGCAAATTTCTTCTCCATTTCGCAATTATGCCATCACTTCCCCTGAACTCCTCCAGCTCTGCCATTCCAAATGAACGCCCCGCACTCAAGCGACGCTGTCAACGGAGTCACGTTAGACCACGACATCAGCCAGAGCTGCTCACCTCAGCACCTTAGACGTAGCTCTTCCTACGGGTCCTTGCGCGACTCAAGGTCCCATGCTGATAAGAATTTTGTACAGTAGAGTTTATGGTACAGTATAGTTTTTGAACAGTATAGTACAGTCAACTTGTCATGCTAGTGGTCCATACGCGACTCAAGGTCCCATGCTGGTTGGAATTTTGTACAGTTTAGTTTTACGTATTAGTGGTCAACTTGTCATGCTGCTGGTCCTTGCGTGGCTCAAGGTCCCATGCTGATAAGAATTTTGTACAGTTTAGTTTAAATTGTCTTAAGAGTCAACTTGTCATGCTACTGGTCCTTGCGCGACTCAAGGTCTCAGGTTGCTTGGAATTTTGTACAGTTTAGTTTAAATTCTTTTTATAGTCATGTTACTGGTCCATGTGCACCTGAGGGACGCAAATCCGGGGTCTTGCTCAGTTGAAGATCAATTTTTATGATTAATCTGTTACTAGTGTTTGTAAAACTGCAGGTTCCTTGAAGCCTGAGCTATGAGCAGTTTAGCTTCTGTTATTATGCCAAAATCCTGTAATTCCCTTCTGGATATCCTTATTTTTCAAATTTTCTAAACCACTTGCTTCATGTTTTCGGAGTTGTTTTACAATTTCTCAATACAATATACTTACAAATAAACTCATATTGGCATTTCAAGTGAGCAAAACCCTTTGAAACAAAGGACGTTCCGAACTATTAATTTCTTTCATTCATCCAACAATGCGAACACTGTCCTCCGATGCGCGACTGTCCCCTAATGCGTGTTTCAATCATTGCAGGTTGGACAGCGGCCTTCCCAAATGGAACGCCTTGGAGATGCAGCGTATTGAGCCTTGCTACAGGAGTAAGCGGAATACAAGCCAGCCTTATGCAAATCAAGCGTTTGTTCCGTGATTTTACACTACATTTATATTACTACTACTAGATATTTTGTCTGTGATTGGTGGTTTTAGCTTGAAAAGCGCTGTCAGTGATGGGCTGACATACTTACGAACTCGTTACTATTTTTGATATTGCGGGCGTACGACCTATAAAGCCAGATTACCGAGTATTCTGCGTTCGTTGTTTTATAAGCGTGATTGTTTCGCAGGACAAATTTTCCAGCTTTTGGAAAATTGGTTTCGAAATCTTTACCAGAAGACAAGCGATGTGTCGCACCATTATAGACGAGTATCGCTATGATGTTGTGTGACTGGCAGGAATTTTTATTTTTGTCATACCTGAGGCTAATAATGATGTTGATTTGGCATGTTTGACTGTCGGTTCAATATTTTATCAAATACGTTGGGAGTTTGCGCACGAGAAAATATTTTTTTGTTGTCTTTCTAATTCATGCAATTATGTATCAGATCTATCATAAATTAAATTAAAATATCATAAATTAACATTCGATTGAGATCCATCCAGCTTCTTTCTGATTATTCTTCGATTCCTGACGATTTTCAATTTCCTCATTATTTTGGAACATGGAATTTGATATATTCCAACGGATTAGAGTTTGTCAGAAAGGTTTTCATCTCTTAATTTAGTGCTAGCTCCTAATTAAATGCTCAACTTGTGTCATTTAAAACATCTATATATCACGAAACACACTCGTTTTTGTGAAAATCAAAAGTTCTTCCTCTCTGCCTTCTTAACGTAGAAGATTAGAGAATTCTTCGCAATTAGATTAGTAGCTTGCGAACTGAAACACGATATCGATAATAATAAATTTATTAACTCTAAGTTTTTCTTCAACAGCAATCACTGATTCATTTACGCTCATCCGCAACTGTAAAACCTTTGTGGCAGTTATCATACAAAATTACTCTCCGGCCCTTCCTTAAAGATGCCAAACTTGTTCCTTCGATAGCCCTTCAAATGAAGCACTCGAATTCCTCGTAGGGTCTCACGTAACTGCAGTCCAATTGAGGCTCTTAATTGGACCGCAGAAGCTTAACTTATGCGATCGAAATTTTGTCACATTGAGTATGTGGTTCTTACGTTACGGTGAGATCTTGTCACATGAAACCTGTGGTTTTATAAAATGAAAATATTTTATCACATGAAGCATGTAATTTTTAAGATGGGGGTATCTTTTCACATGAAACATGTAGTTTTTAAAGGGCGGCGATGTCTTGTCATAACATAGTGATGTCGGCGCTGAAGTGTAGGCCTGATGTGGCCTGTCGCCGATTCTTTTCCTTTTCGTGCCTTGTTCATAGATCTAAACTCGTGTCATTTGACCGGATCTTTTCATGACTTGCGATAGTTTGAAGTAGCTACTAGACTTCCACCGGGTTCGATAAGGAGCTAGGCATTTCAAATCTGAACATATATTTTTCCATAGCTTTATCTAGTCTGTTCTTGAACGCGTTCATACTTGGAGCGCCAACGATGTCATCGGGGAGGCTATTCCACATGTCGGTGATTCGAAGCGAGAAAAAATTTTGTCGCGTGGAGAAGTTGCAGCGCAATTTTTTTAGCTTATAGCCGTGGCCCCTGGTGTTGGCGTGGCCCGGAGAAATATATCATGTAAAGCATTTAATTTTTTAAAAGACTGCGAAATCTTGTCACATGAAACGCGTGGTATTTACAACTTTGTTGAAGATATTGTTTGGATTAAGCTGCATGCCGTAAATGTGTTCACTGTATTTGATGTTTGTTCGTAAGATTTCGCTATTTAATTTTGTTCACACGGACGAAAAAGGGTGCCCAATAATCAGATTTTAGAGTGCGCCTTCTACACGGTTCTATTCGTAAACGTCATTGTTTTAGTTGGGAAAAAAGGCTTAGATTTATTGTAGTTCTAAATATTTAAATGCAAAGAATAGTCAACATAAATTCATATCTTTTTCGATGTAGGGGATCTTAGCTGAATATTCAGGAGTACTTCGGGAAACAGAGGGAGAAAAACAATAGGAACCAATGTGTGGAACGGAGAATAAGTTAAGATGTCGATCCTGTAGCAGCGTACGAGTTCAGAGCAGACTTGTTTTGGGACAAAAGCAAGGACCAGTTGGTGAATTCAGACAACTGCAGAGGTATGTATATAATATTCTAGAGTTGCGGAGATATTAAACTGTCGATATTTATCAATATTGTGTTTGTTGATACTATGTGAGATATCTTGTAGGGTAATTATACGACTGATTGTAAATTTTATTTCGTTCATGTAAGGAGAAGTCAACCCGGATAGAAGATCACAAGAAGCTAGTATATCTTGAAGATTCAGTGTTCATGCATATCGAACTCTAATTCTGTGTTGTGTGGAACTAAATGTTCTGTGCTGTGCCCTAGCATAAGAAAAAAGAAACAGTTCTGTGCACTGAAACTATGCTCTAAACCTATGCTCAAGGTAACTTTGTTCAATGTTCGTAATTTAAGTGTTCCCTTTTCGTTTAAATTAATGTAATTGTGTTAATTGGGAGATCTTTCTTGAACCTCGGCGCGAAAGATCATTTTCAATAGAAAACGTTTCCGAGTCCAGTTCGTAGAATCTAGAATTTATATAAAGTCACAAATTAATACAATTCGGAGCGCAGAACGCAATTAAAAACCTAAATTTACAAATAATAGAGTACAAAAAACCTATCAATTCACAATTTCAAGGGGATAGGAGCTAACAGCTGAATGCAAACCGGGCCTAAGTTTGAATATGTATAAGGATTCTAAAATACGCCAATCTGAAGTACCGGAGGTGGAAGCGAACACCCTAAATTTACTGCGAGAAACAGGGACATCACACTACTCGGCGTGAGTGCGCATGCACAGCCGAATGAGGGGGCGCGATAGCAACTGTCCGGCCCTAAAACTCCTCCCCTTATGCTCAGCGACCCTGGAATAAAGATTGTGTGACGCCATCACGACGTACGCAGATGCACATTGTGCACAACAATATTGATAAACCAAGGACGAACGCACATGAACAGGCAGCATACCTTTATATCTAAAGAAAGAACTAATTTTGAAATTGCTTACAGCATATGATGATTGACATTTGGAAAGTATCTATTGAACAAGACTTTAAATTCTCTTGGCATAGCTCCGGACGCAGGGTCGAAGTATGGAAAAGAACAATAAATAACGTTCCTACTATCGCGCTCGGGAGCAACATCACTGTATCGTTTCGACATGAGTTTCGTGATTTGGGTAAACACCAAACATTCCAGAAATACATTGAGCGAGAAAAAATTGCGTAAAAATTCAAATTCAGCGTGCATAGCATGGTATGCAGGACAAATGCGAAAACATCTGCGTAATAATGTTTGAAGCTCTTTCAACTTGGACCGGAATGAACAAAAACTAAAGAAACTGGCACCTAGACCGATGAATATCGGTTTTCGGAACACAGAAGTCAAAAACGGCTATTAGATTTGGTGACATTGCAATCGAGGAAGGACGAACTATAGTTAGATTCAAGCTCCATGGTAAATTTGATAGAATTATGTTGCGAGTTGAGGTAATCAAAGAATGGTTTGCCAAGAAACCTCGTGAAAACACATAAGAATATTTGCAAAGGTCGGGCCAAGCGGTAGTCCCTTGCCTAAACCGTCAATCTGTATATAAAATTTGCCAGAAAATATGAAAAACGAGTTGAGAACTGATAATTCTAAAAAATATTTGAAAATTTTACGGTTTAAACTTATCACAAGTTCATTATTATTTTTAAACAGAGAATTGAGACACATTTCAATTGTTTCGTGTAGAGGTATATTGGTAAACGAATTTACTACGTCAAATGAGGCCATAGTTAACTCATAAACGTCATTAAAATCTTTCAAGCAATCCACAAACGTATAAGAATCATCAACAGTATACTGATCAGTCGCGGGACAGTTTAAAACCGGTACCAGAAATTTAGCAAGTTTAAAACAAGGAGTATTATACGCGGCAAAAATTGGTCGAAATTGAAACTTAGAGGCAAAATCAGACTTGTGGATTTTAGATAAGCCATATAAATATTAGGTAAGCCATATATGTGAAAAATATTTTCATACCAATAAGATGAAGAAGGTTCTAGCCACGCTTATGAAATCTAATCATTCCAAATTTTGGAAGCTTGCTGCATCACAATAATTGAGCTATACCAAAGACTCTGACTATTGTCACGTATTCACAAATAAAATATTTTCAACGCTCATGATCTCTCGGGAGCCACGAAGCAATTAATTGTGGCAACATTTCGCGCAGCTTAGGCGAAGAGCTGCAGGCCAGCAGCCCGCCTCGGTATATCTGTAGTGCGTCGGCGATTTGCATTGATGATAAACTTCACTCATTTGCTGCATCGTCATGGGGGTCTTTATACCTGCTGTGAGTATTGTATCATTGGTTAGACGCTTTATTACTCCTGTTCATAATAGTTTTGGGTGCGTATACCTGTTATATTTGCCGGGACTATATCTACCCAGATAACTTGTTAATTAATGTTGACAAGAATTCGCACAATTGACCGTAGTCATGAGCGTTCGCGTGACATCGAAATTATTTCATTTTGGCCTGTGTCTATCTTCGTTTATTACTCAAGTTAATATTTTTTGTAACTTTCAGCTTACAAGAACAATAGATGGAAGATAAACTACGTTCTTTTTGTTAACTGCCTTGGCAACGCAGCACAATACGTGAAGCGCCTTGGACTCAATAGTTAAAATTTTAGGGAGAATTATCTTTTTTCTGTATTAAATGGCAGAATTAACTTGTTTAAACACGTGTGAGTAATAATCAGAAAATTCATTGATTGAAATTATTCAATTCTTTTTTTCGATCCATACAAATTAAATTTGTCTAGTTGATTTTTTTTTTTGCGTGGAATCCGCTTTTTATTTTCACGGTCATCATACCACTCACTGACTGAAGAAAATCTGTTCGGCTAGAACTGGTCTCTGTAATTTAAACTTCCGGTGCTCAGTATTATTTATGTTCTTTTAGACTTTTCAACACCAATTCTAATCTGCCTCCATTTGTCAATTCAAATTGACGACTCGCAGCTCTTCTACGAGAGATAATTTTACAGCTTGTCAACCGCAATAAGCGATCGTCCGTCGCTATGAATGTTAATAAATAACAGTTATAACACCGTATATTTCATACAGATTCATCTGTTTTCATGAGTGTCAAAAAACATGACTCTTAGATGAGGCTCAAACGTTACCATGCAAAGCGCAATATTCTTTTTATGTGACATAAATCATATGAACAGCCCTCGTTAAATTGCTATACCCTATCAAAGTTTTGAGGGTGGTCGGCTTCAGAATTAAAGACGCCTTTAGCTCGCTCATCGCGTGAATTAGCGGCTCTATGTTCGTTTTACGCTCTCGTTGTACGAGCGAAGTAAGCGTCCGATTAGAATCCTGTCACAGACCGAGCGTGCTTACGGCGTTCGTAGGGCGCGCGCATTTGGTACATGATAGCTTCGGCATAGACACGGCCAAGTCTGAGAAGTGCATTAAAAATGTCCCCTCCCTTCCCCCCAATTGG